CAGATAGTTTTGCAGGAAAACATGTTGGACATACAGCATTTGAGACAGTTCTGAGTCAACATTTCTATGTCCCCTGGCTCACAAGCAACACCTGGATGATCTGCAAACAATGTGAACTTTGTGCTCACAACAATCCTTGACAGGGACAGAACTCCCACCAGGAACCCAAACTATAGGTGGAGCACCTTTTGAAGACTTGGAAGTAAACTTCACTGAACTACCACGCTCGTGGGCTATAAGTAACTTTTGGTTTTTGTGTGTTCCCACTCTGATGGGTGGAAGCCTTTCCCACCTTCCCTGAAAGGCTAAGGAGATAACCAGGATGCTTCTCAGGGAAATTATTCCCAGATTTGGTGTCCCAATAATTATTGGCTCAGACAATGGGCCACCTTTTGGGCAGAAGTGATATGATTACTGACCAAGAGTTTAAATATCAGATGAAAGTTACATACTGCCTATAGGCTGCAGAGTTCTGGTAAAGTTCAAAGGATAAAGAGAACTTTAAGGCTCAGTTGGGTAAGCTGTGTCAGAAGACTCACTTACATTGTGATGAATTTCTCCCTATTACATGGTTGAGGATTAGATCCACTCCCACTAGGAGGACTGGATTCTTTTCTTTTGAGATAATATATGGGAGGTCCCCCCCCACTCTTATTAGGGGACTACAGGGAGACTTAAGAGAGGTAGGAAAATTAACCCTGAGTCGACAGCTTCAGGTCTTAGGGAAAACTTTACAGGTTCTCAACCAATGGGTTAGAGAAAGATTGCCAGTAAGTTTGACCCAGGTTCACAATCCTTCAAGCCTGGAGATTGAGTCTGGGTCAAAGAATGAAATACTAAACCTCCAAACTTCTTTGGAAGGGTCCTTTCACTATTGTTTTATCCACCCCAACTGCAATAAAATTTGCAGAGATAGGTCCCTGTATTCACTACACCAGACTCACGCCTGCAGCTGTGGACTGGGAATGCTCTCCCGATGCTGCTAAGCCCTTGAATCTGAACATCCCGAAGAAAAAGGAGCACCAGAGAAGCTTGAGGATCAGAAGGACAACAGCCCTGCTCCAGTCACACCGGAAGCTGACTGGTCTATGCATGGCCGAAGCTTGAGGAGACTGTTTCAGCCACACAGGAAGGACTGGCTGATCAATGCACAGTGAAAGATAAACTTCCCACCAAGACTAATGAACTCTTTTAACCTCTGAGATAGTTCTTATACTGTAATGCATTTCCACTCCTTGCTTCTAGATATATACATAATTCTCTGTTTGGTTTTTGCTACTGGTTTGATAACAGTAACTCCTACTCACTGGTCTCTAGGTAACAAAATTTCACTTATATTTTTTTTTAATCTTGCTTATATAAGTTTTTTAGGATTTGTTTGGTGTTATTAGTTTGGCTTTGTTAATTTATGCTGTTTAACTTATGCTAACCAAAATGTTAGTCTATTATTTAGTTTGGTTTCTTTTGATAACTTTAAGAGGTTCTGCCCTACTCCTATTCCAACCATGGAGATCATGTGAACCATTTGTCAAGACAATCCACTAAAACCAAGAGGTGATAAAACATATATTTAGGACCTATCCTGCCAGAGGAATGCAATGGATGGGTAACTGTTTGGAAAGGAAAAAGAGGTCCATTGGAAAGAAACTTGATTTAGGAGGTCACCAATCTTGGGGTGAAGGTAACTGGCCACCCCAGAGGAATTATTGCCACTTTTGCTCCTGCTACCTGAGCACAAAATGGCTGTTGGAATTATAGAACTCCTATTTACATGTTAAACAGAATTATTCACTTACAAGCTTTACTAGAAATTTTTTATTAATCAGACTGCCACAGCCTTTGACCTCCTAGCCACACAACAGACCAGATGCGAATGGCTAACTATCAAAACCACTTGGCATTAGATTACCTACTGGTTGAGGAAAAAGAAATATGTGAAGAGTTCAACAGCTCAGATTGTTACATCCAAATGGATGACAATAGACAAGCAGTTAAAAATACAGCCAACAACAGAACTAGCACATGTGTTAGTTCATACCTAGAAGGGCATTAAAGTTTGGGTCCCAACATGCTTTGGGGAGATGGTTTTCAACTCTTGGTAGATTTAAAATCTTAACTGGTATAGTGGGTATTCTGCTGTTAACCTGTTTATTGCTCCCATGTTTGGCTCCACTGTGCATTAAAACTATTGGGTCCACTAAAGAAGCTGCTGTTGAAAGGAGGACAACAATTAAGGTTTTGGCATTATATAAAGCTTTAAGCCAAGATAATGGTAATGATGCTCTTAAATTTAAAGGATTAAATTATGGGGAACATCATTAAAGGGGGGAATTGAAGGGACACCCCCTTTCTCCACAGAAAAGCCCTCTTCACCATGGCTGACTTTAGGACTGTCAGCAAAAGAGTCCATTGTAGATAAACTTCCTATTTTCATGTCACCCTGTTTACTTGGCCACTGGCCAAGAAGATACCAGCACTCCAGGTGCTGGACACCCCCTTATTAGTTTTTCACAAACGTATATAGTATTGTACTTTGAAGAAATGTGCAAACAAGGCCTCTGGCCTTGAGCTGGGCTTCACAGAGATGTCTGTGTTTTTAAGATAAGTTACCAACTGGGCTCCATGGTAACAGCTAGCAGGGGGAAGAAAGAAAGGGGAGAAAAAGCTCTCCCCTTCTCAGGTGTTGTCCTTGAAGAGTTAACTTGCCCAGAACAGTGAAAGAAAAAGCTGCTTTTATGTGAACTTCTGCAGACTGTGAACTTCTGAGCCTCTCCCCTTACATGCTGGGTATAAAACTCTGATTGATTACAGTAAAGGCTGTATCCTCTGAACGTGGCTGCAGCCAAATAAAACTGTTTCCTGCTATCTTCAGTGCCTTGCCTCGTTTGCCCCTACAATAGTTGAGTACCCCTGAGTTCAATTCCTGGTACCAAAAAAAGAAAAAAAAATTACTTAAAAAAAATCCAAGCCCAGCATATTCTAGATAACACTAATATGCATCTCCAAGAATCTTATTACTTGGTCACCTCGGGTGGGGGAAGGTGCAGGACCAAATCAAAGGGTACCATTTTTTCCCATTATTTTTTTTCCATTCTTTAGACAAAGATCAAAGAGAAGAAATCATATATTTAAATGCAATTAAATTGTTACATAGAAAAACACCAAAGTGTTTTAAATAACCACAATATCCCATAATTATTCCATTTACACAATGAAATTAAATGTGGATTATTAATTTCATATTAATTTCTTCCCATAATGCCATAACATGGATACTACTCTTCAGATAAATGGCCTTGCTTACAGAGCACCCTGGCAGTCATGGTCATGTCACTGATCACACTATATCCCACCCACCTCTTATCACAGCCTGGGATCTCCCAGGGAAGGCCCTTTGGTTAGGAGTATGGGTGGGAAGCTGCTCATCACAGCTGAGCACAGGCCTCTAATGCCATTATCACCTGAAGTGTATTGAGACAGAAAGAGGCCACCCATAAGTAGCCAGGAAAAGTGTCAAGGTGGAGGGTTGTGTGGGAAGATGGGTAACTCAAACTTCTGAAGCCAGGTGACCCCAGCACAAGGACTGTTCCTTAACAGTCCCTTAACATGACCAACCCCAAAAGGAACTTCTTGCACCAACAGACCCTCGCCCTTACCCTTGTGTTGATTAAGGCTTAAAAATCACTTTTCTCCAGGTTTTCTAAAAAGGCAAAATAGAGTTCTAAACCTTATACCCACTAATCATTTATAGGAACAGATCAAGCTCATTAAAAACTCCTAGACAACAGACACCCATTGGCCTCCCTCTCTTTGGACCTTCCCTCTTTGGGAGCTCTGCTTTCTTCCTGATGCTCGAATAAATCCTGTGAATTTGCTTTCACCCTTGTGACTGAGGATTTCATTCTTCAAATTTGCATGACAATGAATCCACCCATCTAACCTCTATGTTACAGTATCAGGTACAAAATGTGGACCATGAGAAACTTTGGACAATGTTTTGGTTCCTTAGATATCCAATACTGTAAATAAGTTACTAAACCCGTCCCTGGAATTTTGAAAATATAAATTTTATTTACTTATTTGTTGTTTATTATTATCATTATTATTGCTATTATTATTATTATCATTATTTGTGTGATGATATTGGGGATCGAAACCAGGGCCTCCACCATGCTAGCCAAGCACTCTACCACTGAGCTACATCCCAGCCCTTTTTATTTTGAGACAGCGTCTCACTAAATTGCCAAGCCTAGTCTAGGATTTTTTATTCTCCTGCTCAATCTCCCTAGCAGCTAGAATTACAGGTGGGTGCCACTATAATGCACAGACACTGAATTCTTTATTGCCCTTCTGGTCAAATTGTGTTTGGTGCTATTTCCATATTATCATTTGATCTCAACAAAGAAGATTTAAGAAAATTTTGTCCTTGTCACAGTGGCAATCCCATTTCCCCATTTGGCAACCAACATGGACTGAATATTATATAGGCTTTGAGATTCTTTTCCAAGGATATGCATGCATGTTACATGTTCATTTATAATACATACAAATGAACACTACTCTGCCTCTGTTGGGGTATAAATGGATAATCATAGCTTACTTTTCTATAAGTTTTTGTTATTGTAGAATAATTTTTGAAGTGCTTTATATTTGGTCATTCCATTAACTTGAGAGTTATTAGGAATTATTAATGGAATGTTTTTTGTAGCAATCCTATAAGAAGAGGAGGAGAAAGCTAGGCAAATTTAGCTGGGCACATGGTGTATGCTTTTAATCCCAGTGACTTGGAAGGCTGAGACAAGAGGATCAAAAATTCCAGGCCAGCCTCAGCAATTTAGTGAGGCCCAAAGCAACTAAATGAGACCTTGACTCAAAATAAAACATAAAAAGAGATAGGGATAAAATACAGTGGTAAGCACCACTGGATTAAATCCTCAGTTCAGAGAGAGAGAGAGAGAGAGAGAGAGAGAGAGAAAGAAGAGAAGAGGAGAGAGGAGAGAGGAGAAACATACACTGACTCTGAGACCCAGGGTTTTTTGTTTTTCTTTTCTTTTTTGACCTAACAGTCCTGCTAACCATCCAAATGATTCCAAAAGTATATTTTTATCTCCAAGTCCAAATTTTTACTTAAAATATAATTCAGTTTACATGAGTGATGTACACATTTTATGAAACCATTTGTTGTGTAGATAAAACTTTAATAATCAATTAACACATACAAATTAATTCCTCATGCATCACCTTCATTTTCTGGTTCAAGAGGATGGTGGTGGTGATGATGATGATGATGATGATGGCAGCAGCAAGGATGATGATGAAGCCTGATTTAGTCAACAGCATGGTCTCTGGCCAGGCACAGAGTTGCTTGCCTGTCATTCCAACTACTTTGGAGGCTGAGTTTGAGGTCAGACTGTGCATTTTAGAGAGGCTCTGTTTCAAAATAAAAAAGCCTGCTGCTGTAGCTCAGTGACTCAGTGTCCCTGGGTTCAATCCCAATGCCATATAGGGTGTGTGGGAATCACAGTTGGTGGAAGTGGATTGTTTGAATTTGAATTACTGGCTCTTACTGCCTGTGTTGTCCTAAATTACTTAATCTCTGGACTTCAATTTCCTTGTCTATGAGAGATGATGATGATAATAATAATGATGATAATGATAGTACCTGTCTCACAGGACTGTTATGAGGATCAAATGGATTAATATCTGTACAATTTTAAAATAGTGCTTAGCACATAACTTTTTGCTAAGTTAAAACAGTGCCTAGCATGTAGCAAGCACAATGTAAATATTTATTAAAAACAATGATAATTAATATTCACCACAAGCACACCATGTGCCAGATTCCAAATTTAGTACTTTGAACACATTGCTTTTCATTCTCCCAGGATGCTATATGAAGTGCTATTATTTAATCTCCAGCTTATAGATGAGTCAGCCTGAAACCCAGAGTGCTTAAGTAATTTGTCCAAAATGGCACAGCTAGTATGTAGCAGAATTGAGGTTGAGTTAACCTGTCTTTATCTAGAAGTTATTTTACTACCCATCACATTTCCCTGTTGCATCTAAACCATTTTACTAATTGATTAAGTTGATTCTGTACAATTTGGGATCTTCTATAACCCTAATGAGTGGCATAAATATTCAACTTTGTCATTCTCTTCTAATTTTTCCTATTGAGATAAACCTTAGCCCCTAGGCCCAAAGTCCATCCCAAAGGAATGTTAATGGAACCCAGGAAACAGCCCCCAACAGATTTGGAGATAGCCCATCCCAAAGAAGTGATAATGAAGTCCTTCCTGCCCAGATTACTTGTTTGGCTCACCTGTGTCCCAACCCTTCCCCCTTACATTCCATCACCAAAACTATAAAAAGGGGAGACAACGGCACTTCCACGGATTCCACCTCTTGGGTCCCCTTCATCCTCGGGGAGAAGTCTTTTCTGCTGTCCTTTAATAAACTTCTAATTTCTACTCTGAAAAAAAAAAAGAGAGAGAGAGAGATAAACCTTAATTTATTCGTATCTTTTTTATATTCAGATATATTTTTTGAGACAGTGTCCTCCTATGTTGTCCAAACTATCCTTAAACTCTTGATCCTCTTGCCTCAGTTCTCCATGTAGCTGGATTTCAGGCATGCACTGATATGCGTGGCTTAGATATATTTAATGGCTGTATTTAATAAGCATATGATGACAAAGACTTGTTAGGCTTACAAACATTCTGTCTCTGCTTTTAAGGATATTACATCAATAATTTAATCTATCTGGTAACTGAATATTTATTCATATGACCTTAGATTGAATCCTTCTAAATTAAAGCAAGGCCAGGGGTGTGTGTGTGTATAAAATATATTTTTTTCATCTATCCAGGGATTGACTCAGGGTTGCTTAACCACTGATTCATATCCATAACCCTTTTTTATGTTATTTTGAGACAGAGTCTCCCTAAATTGCTGAGAGCCTTGCTAAGTTGCTAACGCTGACTTCAAACTTTGAATCCTCTTGCCTCAGCCTCCTGAGTAGCTGGAATGGCAGGCCTGTGCCATCTCACTTGGAAAAATCCATATATTTCCAGAAACACTCAGGGTCATTATGAGGCTCTTGAAATGTCACAAAGGTAAACATGGCATTCTAATACTTGGGATTTTTTTCCTTTTGCTGGGCATTGAACCCAGGACCTTGTGAATGCTAGGCAAGTGCTCTATACCCCTAGCTCCTTTCTTACTTTGTAAATATTTTTAATTATTATCAGAGAGATTTCAATAAATATTTCTTCATCTCAGGGAGAAAAGGGAAGGAGAAAAGAAGTCTCCTACAGAGTCAAGGTACATTTATTTAGCAACCCTCCCCCAAGTAGAGGTGTTGAATGCTCCCTTACCCCTGCTCCATTGGGACACAGTCTAGACCACATTAGTCATTTTTCCCTCTTGGGGTTCCTGGTGGTGTTGTGTGCACTGGGTACTGAAGTGGACAGACAGTGTTGGTTAGCCAATTGATAGGGGTAGATGACAGATGAATGACATCCTCATGGACCCCAGGGAGAGCAGTTATCATGTCCTGGTATGGACAGTGGAGAATTTTCTTGAATGAAAGCAGAACTGCAGGTGATGGTTCAGTTCCCAAAAAATTCCTGGGCCAAATAATCCTCACAGATGTGCTTTCTCTGATGTGTTTGCTTTCGCTCTCGCTCTCTCTCTCCTCTTTCTCTCTCTCTCTCTCTCTCTCTCTCTCCCCCCTCCGAGGAGGGGGGGGTGGGGGGATTAGACCTGGGTATGCTTTACCACTGAGCCAAATTCCCCATTCTTTTTTATTTTATTTTATTTTTGAGACAGGGTTTTGCTAAATTACTAAGGGTATCACTAACTTGCCATCCTCCTGCCTAGGCCTCCTGAGCTACTGGGATTGTAGGTTTGAACCACAGCTTCCAGCTACTCTTTTCCTTCTCCTTCTTCATCTTCTTGGTGGTTCTGGGAATTGAACCCATGGACATTCTGTTATGGAGCTACACACCCAATCCTTTTATTTATTTATTTTTTAACATTCTGAGGTAGAATCTTCCTAATTTGCCTGGACTGGCCTTAAATCTGTGATCCTCCTACCTTAGTCCCAAGTAGCTGATATTACAGGCATGCATCACTGTGCTCTATCTACTTGAGCAACTTTTCCTTGCTGCCAACCCAGTCACAGATTCCACTTCCTCTTTCCCCCATCCTTGTATATCCTGTTGATCTTAGAAAAATTGCTTGCTTTTTTTTTTCCTTTCTAGACTTCCCTAGAATTCTTCTTTCTCTTCTTCAAACCTAGTCTTTATTCCTTCATGATAGAGTGAAGTACATTAAACTCAGAACCCATTCCTTCCCTTGTCTTTGAGAAAAGGGAGAAATTAACCATCAGACCTTTCTAAGGTAGGGGAAAATCATTCTGTATTAATTGTTCTTCTTATGATGGTTATAATGATATAGCATAAAATTATTTTTATTGCATTTTATGTTACTATATTTGAATATTGTTAAATTACAAATGCTACAATATTGTTATTGTCTCGACAATATTGTTATTGTCTCGACAATATTGTTACATAATGATTTATAATATAAATTGTTACATTTTAATGTTGTCAGTTTTAGAACATAAGTTTAATATAAATATAAATACTACTTTTATATATTGTTATATTATAGCAAATGAATAATTAAATACACAGACAGATAAATGAATGGATGAAAGGTATGTGGATGATGAAATGACTATATAATCTTTAATTAGTTACACAAGATACTGGACTCAATTCATTAAAAAAAAAAAATCCTATGAAGTTGAGCCCTTTTATCACTGTCCCTCTAGCCACCTAAGAACTAGAGCAGTTGTATCACTGTCAGAAATTTCTGGCTCTTAACTGAAAGTAAAGCTGAGTAAAATACAGTTTTCTAGTGCAGGTAGGACAGTAGTCCCTGAGGTTCCTTTTAGCCCTGACTTTCTGCAATCATTCATTTTTAAGATATTTTACATCAAGAGTACGGCCACTACAGGGAACTGTTAATGTCTTCTTCTTGGGATGGGTGACTTAGTCTTCATTGCACAAAGATGGGGTAGGTTTCTGAAAACAAAAATGTTAGATCAGATATCTGGGGGAGAGTTTCCACTGAGTGAGGGAAAGTTCACAAAAAACACTGGTCAAATGTGGCTTTCTACAATCACCCAATAGGGAGTCAATTCTCTTTGAATCCCAGCCCTACTGCTTGCTTGGATTAATGATTTAAGAGCCTTTATTGCTCAGTGTTTAATCCGTAATATTGGGGTAATAAAGGCGCTTTCTTCATAAGGTTTTTGTCAAGATTAAATGCTTAAATACATTGAAAAGCCCAAGAACCATGCACATATTGATAGTTTCTTCTAAGCAAATAAACCATGCACATATTGATAGTTTCTTCTAAGCAAATAAACCACACCAGGTCCTCTATCCTCTTAATGGGCATTTGCTTTGTGTCCTGGAGGGTTTGAACTGACTCAACAATGCTGTTTCATCCCAGGACATTAGTGAGGAAGTTGGGGTTAGTTAGGGTGGTTGTCTGGACTGAGAAGCTGAGAAAGTTATGGTAACACTTGATGGATTTTCATCAGGTCTTACCTGTTCCCTAATCCCTCTCCTTACAGCTGACTCCTGTCAGGAGGCTCTGTATTACTCCAGGACCAATGCTGACCTGGGCAAAAGGAACTTGAACCAGGTCTTATCTGACATGCTGTTTATGAATGAGCCATCTCACAAATAGCCTTTCCTGACGATCCATGCTTGTGCTCTGTTCCCCATGTCTGTGATCTTCCCAGAGCTTGGTTATTCCATCCCAGCTCCTGCCTTACCCTGTTCCTATCCCCCACTCCTACTCCTAGTTTTCCTAAATACTTATTGGGTCACTAGGTCTCTACTACTCATGATTGATTCCCCAAATTCCTCCTGCCTCCATGCCTGAAACTCTTGAGCACTTTGCTTATAGGTTGTATGTCACTATGACCATCCTGTCTTCTGGACACTTTCCTACTCCTATAAGCCTAACTACTCTGCCTCATCTGTGGACTACCTTGTCTGCCTATGACATTGAACTTTCTCCTACTGTTTAAAAGCAGTGTGTCTTCTTCACCCCCAGCTGCTTCCTGGTACTGTTGCTTCTTTTAAGTGGATAGGATAGAGTTGCTATGTGTTCACCAAAACTTATTTCTTCTACCTCTTGAGTGTACTGTTAGACTACATTTTCCAACCTTCCTTAAAGTTAGGTTTGGTCATGTCACTGAAGTTCAACTGAAGGAATGTGGGCAGAAGTGATGTCCTTCCTTCATGTGACTCCATACATTCTCTTTCTTCCCCTATGGATTGTCTAGATACAGTGTTGTAACAGGGGACTCCAAGGCCGTACAGGAAGACAGAGCCAGGATGCAAGGAGCCTGGTTGTCTGAAGACCACAGGCAAGGCTGCCTACTGACTAGGAATTTTTACACTGAGCTTTATGTGAATGAGAAAAAAACTTTTATTTTGCTTAGCCACTTTTAATATTTTTAAAATATTCTATATAATTGAATGTTATCCTACTTTATACTGTGGGCCTGCCTAAATCCAATCCTCAACTATTCTCTAGTTTTCCCATAACTCTCCAGACAGGCCTGACTCTATTCTCTTCAAAAGCACATCTTTGATTTCATGATCCTCAAGTTTTAACTGACATGGCTGTATTCAATTTTTCTATATGCTTTAAACAACCTTACAATCGTAAATCTTAGACCCCTTTGGAAACCTATAGGTGATCTCTCAAAAAAAAAAAAAAAAAAAAAGAAGTCTGTACACAAATACATGTTCAAATCACCTGAGAGTTCAGATACCTTAAGTTTACAGAGCTCATGCTCTAGGTATAAATAATGACAAGAATCAGTTTTATACCAGTTCTCTCCCACTGGGTTGCTTTGTCTTCCATAGTGGATAAAAGCATTCACTAACTTGGTTGTAAATGTGCTCATAATGGCAATTTAATCTCTCTGGTCCTTCATTTTACCATTTATGTTGCCTTTTTGTTCCCCGACTGGGAATGTAGTTTGTGTTCAGTGGTAGAGTGTTTGCCTAACACTTGTTAGGCTCTGGGTTTGATCACTAGCGCATGCACACGCACACACACATTTTTCCAGGGCTGAGGTTATAGCTCAATGGTAGAGTGCTTGCCTAGCATGTGTGAGGCACTGGGGTTGATCCTCAGTACCACATCAAAATAAATAAGTAAAGGTATCATGTCCATCTACAACTAAAAAAACTATTTCAAAGAAAAAAAGTTTTTCCAGATTTCTCCTAACAGAAAATTTTCCTTTCTTGCTATTTGAACAGGAAAATAATGTTGCCTAGGCTTGTCTGCAAGGCAGAATCTTCATGAAAGAAAAATACATATCTGGTGGACAGGATTTACTTGCAGGCAGTTTGTGTGGAGAAAGAAGCTCCT